TCAAAAAGCAATGGAAAAAATTTGTTGAAGGAAAGTCCTTCAATGACGACTACGTGTAGAAGCATCACATTTTACGGTGCTAAGGCAGATCTTATGCCACAGATATTCAGAGGACAAAGCTATACTCTGAAGAATTATAATTCTCATTTTCTTAAAGGCCATTAGGCCACTGGCATGGCCTGGGAAGTATCCTTAGTCTGAGAAAATAAAGCTGTTCTAGAATTTCACACCACTAAGTCTTGTTTTTCAGGCTACCCTCTGCAATTCAGAAGATGGAATATTAATTTACATCCAGTGCAGTGTTTTACAATATGCGTATGTCAATTATCCATCATTTCTGCTGCTTTGGAAAGTGTTACTTGTGTTTGAAACAGAAAATGTTAGCTTATCAAAAAATGATTTTTTAATAGCTGTGTTGTTTAATTGGTTTCACCATGTACTTGAGATATTTTTAATTAACTTTGAATGTTTTAATTTTTAATAATTCTGTGTTACATCTTCATGGCTCTGCACAGTGCTGCTCCCAATTCTAGATTTCTATGATAGCAAACTAAGAAAATGCATATTATAATTCCTGGGAAGGTACTGCAAAGATAGATGGTCTGCTTAGCTCAAATAATTAGCTCATATTCAGCCAGCAACTCATTCTGGATGTGAGTGCCATGTTAATAGTTTAAAATACCCTGTTTTGTTTGGTAGAGATAGCATGATTCTTTATCTGTTTTTCTACCTGTGGGTTTCTGAGATACCCAGTTTTGTCATGGATGTGGAAAAAAAAAAAAAAAGAAAGAAAAGCCTTTTGAGGTATGAGATCAGTCTCATTTCTGAAGTCAAATCTTAGACCTCAGGGACATGAGGCGTGTTCTCCTGTATGTTCAGGTTTTAATGTATATCAGCATTTATATCTCCTTTAGTATGTGCTAATACCTATAAAACAGACACACAAGGATTTTGTGGTTAGCATATCCACTCATCAATAGGCAGGCCAGAATTACTGCCACAGTCTAAGTTCATTACATGTTTTTGGGATCTCTTCTAAATAACTTCTGATGTGCACTGATGAAGTGACTAGTGCAGAGGATCATTTTCAGAAAATTATTTTACCTAAAGCTTCTTTGAAGAATTCTTGCTTATAAATTACAAAGCTCCATTCTCATGCCAGGCATCAAGAGCCCTCTAAAAGCAAAAATTTTCCTTGTTCTACCCATTATCTAAATTAGAAGCCTTAAGATGAATGGTATTCTGGCACCTTTTTTGTCAGGGAAATAGTATCTTCAAACTAGAAACAAAGCTAGCATTCACTTTACAAAAAGGAGAGCATCTTAATTGCTCTGGCAGATACTGGCCGGTATGTCTTTTTCATCTGTAAGTTCATTGAACATATCATTTGCAATAACTACCAGGAATTCCTCCCTTCTGGTTTTATCTTAGAGCTCTTGTACTGTACTGAAATAGTTTTCATCAAAATCTCTGAGGACCAGTTCCCTAGCCAAATCTCAGAAAAAGTGCTATCATGCTCATCTTTTAGGTGTCACTGTTTATGTTCTTCTAAAGGAAATCTCCTTTTCTTCTGAGAGTGTTTTCTCTTTCAGTGGGGGCGTTGTCTAAATTTCCTCTGAAGGTTCTCTAATTTCATTTGCAAGCCCACATTCAGCTTCTGTATCCATGCTGATGGTTCGTATCTGATTCATTAGGTGGTCTTCCTTTGAATGGAATAATGTTAAAGTATCAGCTTATTTATATCGCCTATCTGTACACGTCTGGCTAGTGTTGTTAGCAATATTCAATATATGCTGCATTGTCTGCTGTCTGTCTTACTGGTAATCTTCAACCTTTTCATCAGTAGAGATAGTGTTACTATTTGCCTGTCCCTCAGAAGCATTAATTCTGTTTTATCTTTATCTTAGATCTCTCTCTAGCTTCTTACTTCCTTATTTTTCTAAAAAGATTATAGACTATTTTTCTTTTATAATAACATCTGAGATGGAGACATTTTTCTGGATTTATGAAGCTAAAAAGCTCTTTTGTGCTTTTATGTTACGCGGTTCAATTTAAGCAAAATCTTTCATCCTGTTGCTTTGTCTTGCTTGTGTCCATTCAAAATACCGTTACAAATATGATTCTTTTAGCCTGTCATTTTGATTGTGTAACACTTCTGGGTGTACTGTATTATTTTTCATGCACTCTTAAGATCTACAGTGATTTTGCCCAGTGAGAGAATTGTCTATCTGGCAAAAGGGAGATTTTTATCCACAAGACTTTAGGAGTTGTAGTTCATAACCATAGAAGATAAATTCTAGTGAAAGATTCATTAAAATGGATGAGACCTCACATTGCACAAGATCCACCGAAGTGAACATACGAAACACAGAAGCTTGGCTTTCTGTATATCATAGATTAAGATGCACCTGAGGATATCCTCAAGCGAAATAGGGAGTGCTTCACTTGTGTTTTTCAGCTGATGTGAATCCTGCGCTTCTTTTTGGGTTCTTAAGTTTTATTTTTCCTCTGCATCTTGTCAGAAGAGAAAAATCGAAAGTAACATTAAGAGTGCCAGAGTGGTTGTATTCTGCTGTGACATCTCTTGAAAAGTGCTGAGGTAATTGTTTCGACTATTAAGCAGGAAAAAATAGAACTGGGTTGTATATTTATATTAGTTTAGGAAACAATTTATACCTAATATGCATTAAAAAACCCTCTTCACACTGGTGAATATACTATTCTCAGTGAAAACTGGTTTCCAGCAGGATCTAGTGGGTCCTTCTAAAGTGGTCAGCAGCTGGGCAATGGCAAAAAAAAAAACAACAGTAAAAGACCACTGTTACTGCTTTTCAGTTTTGTTCTGGTTGCCCTAAAAATACTTAAATGGAATAAACAAACTCAGTACAGGCTACAGTTGTGTTTGTCATGTGTTTGATAATGCCTGCTGTGCAAACAAATGGTGAATGATCATTGCTGTAAGATATAGGGTAGCTTCAGTATGTCAGAGGGAAAGCGCTGTGAAAATAGTAACTGGTGTTAATGAATGTATTACAGTTTGAACAGGGCATGCACATCTTGAACAAAGCCAAAGTTTATCCCTTAAATCTGCATTTTAATGCTCATCCTATTTAATGTGACTATTAGCCTCTATATATCGTTCGGTGGTGTTTAACAAACTTCTCTGGTGGCCTAGTCCATAAGTCTTTCTGGTAGTTTGAGTGGGAAAAAACCCCCTCTTGTTAAAACTATTTTTCGATAAGGAGAAACTGGTGAATGTAGAACCTTACTTGTAGTTTGATTTTGTCACTAGATAAGCACGCTATTAATGTAAAATAGAAAGAAAACTCATGAGTTTGTTCAGGGGAGGTGTAGTGGAATTCGTGCTAGTGGAATTCATGCATCTTGGTAACTTATTTTTTTCCCATCATCTAAGAATTATACATATAATTGCAGTTAAATCTCATGGTTCACTTCTGAAGAGATGTATAAAATGAATGGATCATTCCACACCCAGCATGCAAGCAAAATTAAACTCCTATAGTGTCCCCCTATTGTTAATGAGATTTTTTTTTCTTTTTTTGTGAAGCCAGTTTAATTCTTCAATATTATAAAAATGAAAATCAGGACTCAGCATGGAGTTTTTTATTATAAGAAAATTAGTTGGCATGCAATATTACTTGAGTCTGATAAAAGGAATAAAAATGTTATTGATGGGTAAGTGGGCATGTAGTTAATGAGTATTTCAGTGACTAATAAACTCTTTATTAGTGTTTTGACTGTTTGACTGGGTTTTGCACTCCTTTTTCACAGCATAGAAATTAAGGCACATTGCAGAATTTTGATGCCAAGTGAATAGCTTTATTTTGCTAAAATAATGTTTAACCTATATCCTGTAAACTACACTGTAATTGGGAGTAACTTTCAGACACTAGTATATTCTGTACACAGAATGTTGCTTATTCAGAAGTCCTGGAATAAACTGAAGCTGCATTTATTATGTTATCAGATTTTCAGTTTCTTCAGCCAGGTGTGTACATCCAAGACTTGGAAGCAATTTTTCTTTATAACACGAGCAAACAGTTGTAGTCTGTCTCTGTTATCAGTTTCTTACATTTTAGGTGATGTATAGCTAATTAGAATGAGGTTGTTAATGTATGTGTATCTGCTTCAGGTTTAATTACTTTGTAAATGCTCATTAAAATACCTTGGCTGTTTCTGTGGGTGATTTACAATCAATAAACTCTGTTTGTCAGTGTTAAAAATACAAATTTTTGTATTTTTGAAAGATTCTTTGATATTAATTTTGAGAGCTGATGGTAAAGCAGAGATTAAGAAATATGCAGTCTTTGGACTAAGTCAAGTTATGAGCACCTTGGAATTTACATTGATTTTTGCTGAACTGGAGATGCTTAAAGGCTGTTTCAGTGTTCTAGTTAGAGCCCTCTTGTTAAAGAATTTAAAATCCAGATCGCAGTTGCACCTGTGTTTTACGGTAGTGCCAGAAAGCAAATGGATCCTGTAACTTGCACTGATTTGTACTAGTATTTACAAATAGTGTAATGTTAGAGAAGAACATGTTCATAAAAGGAAAAAAACCCAAACATATATTAAGTAAGAATAATGTAGATATGTATTTTTGGTTTATTATGTGAGCTTTTTTTATTAGATGTTTTCAAACCAGCGTCCTTTTAAAATAATAGATATTCCAGGAGAACTGAGAATTATGTCCTTTGTTTTTAGGGCACAAAAGAATTTCAGTTCTCTTTATTGTTAACAATAGTGATACTTAAAATAATTGTACAAAATACTTAAGGAATTACAGAATTTGTCAGTGGTTAAATTGATATGAGTTAGCTTAATCCCACTGATGTTGACACTTACTGGTTTGTACCAGTAGAAGCTCAGCCCCTATCTTTTATTTAAGTAAAATCTAGGAGTCTACATTCCACGTTCTCCAATAATTCAATTATCATACTGATTTGCTTGTTTTCACTGGAGATACTGCTTTTTCTCCTTAGGACAAGAAGGACAAAGTCTCAAGATTTGATACTATACGCCATTCCATAGCTGGAATTATAAGGTCTCCAAAATCCATGTTGGGCTCATCGTCGGTAAGTAGTATCAATAATGTAGTGTTGTACTACATTCTGTTATTTTTACAGGTTAGGAAGGATTTTTTTTTTCTAAAGCATCATGCATTTCCCTCTACACAGAGAAATTTATATTAAAATAATTTTATAAAAACGTGTTCTAATTGATCAGCAGACATAATATCGTGGCATAACAGTATGTCAGAACAACTTGTTTGCACTTTAAGAAAAAAAGGTAATTTCTATGTTCTTTGCAGCTCCCAGACTGGTGCTAAACTTTTAAGAGTACTCTTCCCAATGAGTCTGATTTAGTGGAAATGCAGTGTATTATGATATTCTGTGGTAGGTCAGATGGTCATGCATTTTTTACACGTTGCTGTGATAATTATACTCCCTATATTTGTTATAAAGGCAGCAGTATGTAAGCTTATTATTATTATCATCATCATTATTATTATTATTACTACTACTACTTTCTCAATAACTGGTACTATGTAAGTAATTAGATATTGTACATCTTTCCTTCAGTCCCCGCTAAAAATGGTTGTTGAGTATATCTCTTACTTCTAGTTGGTTTTTGTTCAGGTTCTGTAATGGATGAAGAAAGTTGTTTGTTTCTTTTGCTTTTGTATGACCTCTGTTTCATAAAGAAGCTTGCAAGACTGGCTAGAATACTTGAGCACCTACTTAAGGAGGTGTCAGATTTTACTTGAAAACCTTCCTCCTGTGCTTTACTGAAGTGGAACATGTGATCATTCCAACCCTCCCAACAAAAAAAAACAAGTTAAAAACCAAACTAAACAACAAGAAGGAAAAAAAAATCAAAAAACCCCCAAAAGTTAGGCAGAAATTTTAAAACTTTTGAATCTGCCTTTTAATTGTGATCTTGTCACCTGAAACATTAGTTCAAAACAGTATTTTTGAGAAAACTTTAGAATGAATGGGCCTTCTATTTTATTCTGTAGTATTGCATCCAAGGACCCAGTAAATTTTATTTCAGCTAAAAAATACTCAGAATCCATGGAAAAGATTACAGATGCATATATTTGTATACATATATGTGTACATACATGTGTATACATAGGAAAATTGTATATAGCAATAAAGGAATGAAATAATAAATATGATAATGAGATAAAATTAGGACAGGAAGGCTTTTTCTATGAAAAATGTGAAAGTTGCATGACGTATTTGAAAATTAATAGGGAAAACCCAGCTAAAATATTTAAGTATCCCTGGAGATAAAGAAAATCTCACATTATCATGATCTTTGGTTTATAAAATTTCTAGTTGATGTAAAAATGCAACATTTCATAATAAAAGCATATTGAAATGTATATTGCTATGAACGTTGGTCTTTGTGTAGGTGAGACATAGCTTGCAACTTTGTCTGTTTGTATGTGTTAGACAGCTTGTAATGTTTTTTTTAAAACTAAAAATGCTACCTAAAACTGCTTCAGAGAAAAATTGGAAGAGAAAAAAGTTCAAGAGGATGATCAAGATAAAACATTTAGGATGACATTGGGGGAAATCAATGTCAAAATTTTCACTTTAATTAAAATGACATATTAAATAACCTGTGTGCCTCATTTTGATTTCATTCCAATCTATATCACTTAATTCCATGGAAGCTGGTGCAAACCTGGGTGTAGATATGTGGTAGGATTGGTAGGTAGAATTGCTGAAGGCCTTGGAATAAGTTAGGGAGAAGTAACATCAGAATTAGGTCATTTGAGGCAGAAAGTAAAATCTGAGTAACAAGTGTCCTCACTTAGATGAGCTTCGAAGTCAGAATATATAAACCAATGAATTTTCAGTTTTGTTTTGTTTTTTGATTTAGTGATTGTGTGTTAGAAAAGCTAACCATGCATATACAGCTAAAATTTGCTTCATGAACTAGTACTTAGCTCTTAATGTGGTCAGCTGCTTGGCTTTTTGCTGATGCCAATTGCATAACTGTGCTTATTGCTAAATGTATAAACTGGTACTTAAAACTTGTAATGGAATTTATTTGTTTGTTTGTTTTTTAAAATAGAGCAGAGTAGGAAAAGAACTGATACTGAATGTCCGATAGAGTGTAGATTAAAAATGTGATATTAACTACCTGTTTTCATAGTATATAATTTAAGTATATTGGAAATTTTAATGTGGAGCCATGTCTTGGTTTAAATGTAGCGCTATTCTAAAAACACTGTCCCATATTTAATTGGTGGGAGAAGTTGAATTTTATGTCTAATTAGAGAAAACAATGGGGTTTTTTGTGTCTTCTGAAGAAAGGTGTAAAAAAAAAAAGTATAGGCAGCCAGGGGTTTAATTGTTACTACAGGCACTTAAATATTTTAGAGAATGAGAAGTTAAAGGGTAACATAGGGAAAAAGTATAGTTTGAAGAGAAAACAGCAAGGTTGGGGATTCAGGTGGCTTTTCTTGGACAAAATGCAAGCCAGTTTTCTATAATAGCCAGAGACATAAGTTTAATCAGATGAAGAGAGAAAACACAAGAAAAGGAGGAACTTTCATGTACCTGTAATGCAGTGCTATGAATGAACTGAATGACGAGTCTGAATGAGTTGCATCATGAATGCAGCCAATTTCTGCCCTTCTCCTTATTATTTTTGGTGCCAAGGCGTTTGAGCTTGGCACAGATATCTGCTATTCTTTATAGGATAACTTTTTTGTTGTTTATAGGATACTAGGTGGAGTTGATTTTGGTTTCATATGCTATATTAGCATGTGGGAATGAGCCAGATACACTGAAGCTAAAGGCAGGATTTTCCATAGGGAATTGTCTCAAATTATCAACCTAAATTTATTGCTTTACTTTCTCATCTGTGTCTATGCCTCTCTTTTACACTGGGAGAGAAAAAATGTCTTGACAACATGTTTTGTTTGCTTAAAAATGGAAAACACGAAGTATGTGAAATTTGAGCTCAGAATATGTTGAAAACACAATACTGAGTAAGCTATTAGTTTAATAATCTATCATTCCCATTATTATTTTTTTTAAATGACAGCATGAGTACAGGAATAATATCTCGTTTTTTGGAGTTAGAAACCATACACTGTTATTTGCTCAGTTTTTTTCCGAATCGGGGCAGCAGCTGTGAACTGCGTTATTTTACTGTTGGAGAAAAGCTGCTGGTTTAGTGGGCTGTTTAAACAGGGAGAGAGAAGGGCTCTCAGAATAAGTAAAGACAACAGTACTAGGTCCATGAGGAGCATGGTAAGTTTATGAGGGCATTTCCCTCCTCTCAGAAGGAAAAATGTGATGAAGTATATAAGGGCACCCCCCCAGCCCC